CTCTGAGATAGACGGCCCCATTGACACAAGGGAACCCGAAACTGAACAAAACCAAGCGACTCGCGTCGAACACTGCTGTCAGAGGATCAGAGGTATTTGACCCGGCATTTTTTTGTGACTGTGGCCGTTGCCTCCCTGTCCAACCCCGAACTTTATTAGAAGCCTGTCCAGCGGAGTCTATTTTGTTTTATAATTTTCCTGTCCTTTATATAGCCCAGACACCACCCACCAAAAATCCGTCCTGTCGACACGACCACCTCGATCTACCACGCTTGCACCAGGAAAAAATATGGCCACTTCGGTAAGTTGCGTCGATTACTCTGTACCGCCGTCTGCATCCCCTTCGACCAGCCCTTTTTCTTCGCCGCATCAGTCCCATCAGTGCAGTGCCAGCCAAGCCAAAAATTTGGACCCTTGCCGCTCATGCCTGCGGCGATGCTAGCGCCATGGGCCTCGACGTCAGAGGGGCTTGTGTGTCTCAAGGCTGCGCCAGACTAGCGCACGCGGAAGGGAGGCCTGGCAGTCTGGCGGCCTGGCAGCCTGGATCGCCCGGGGTCAAATGGGTCAGCACTCTGGGACGCCTATGTCGCCTCTGGCATTCCCAGACAGCAGAGCCCAGGCCCAGGCTCCCCACGCACAACCACCCACACTCCATGTTTGGTTTCGGTTTCGTTTTTTGGCACGGCTGTCTCTTGACACGCTGACACGGGCTCCGGCTTTTTTGTCCTGTGTTCCGTTCTGCGCCCGCTTCGCCTTCTCATCATCTCAAATTGTTCATAACCATCACTGACTTTCGTCCTCGCTCTCCTTAGGCGCGGTCGAGGGCCGGATTTTATTCTTTCAAGATGCCACCGGGTTCCAACGATAAATCTCAACATCAGCAGTCAATGGGGTCTGGTTTCCCGGGCTCCAATCTGTATCCCAACTCCAACATTTGGACTGCTTCCATATCCAACGCCAGAGAGCGCTCCATCGGCAGCAAAGGTATGTTGTTTTCGCCTATCCTGACACACCAAGACTCATGTGTACTTATCCAATTTTTCTCTTTCCCAGAAACCGAAGGTAGTCCTTCCGGTTCCAGCGCCCTTGCTGCCAACTCGGAGGCTGATGTTTGGGGAGCATCAGGCCCTTGGAAGACAGAACACCCTGCTCGATCAGTTAGCACCTCCCCGAACCGGACCCGCGATGCTGCCATCTCGAACGGCGCTGCTTACTTCGACCATACCCCATCCGCGATTGGTGTGAAGAAGGGCAGCTTTGGCAGTGGTCACACCCTCCCAGGCGATGCTTCCGCCTATTCTTCTACCTCTGCCTTTACATCACAGAAACTGCCCGCTATGGATGCTTTATACATGGAGGCGCTTGCCCAGTTTCCGGGGGTCCAGTCAGTCTCTCGTGAAGCCGGTATCCCCCCTTCACGGCAATCTCAAGGCTCGCCTGCCTTCCAACAGGATATATACCGTGGTCATACGCCAAGCAACTCCATCCATTCGCAAAGGGCCATAGGTAATCACGCACCATCTTTTTCAACCCAGAGCGCAAACCAAAGAGCCTTCAACCTGAACAAGCAAATCGATGACGAGCTGGCCTACCAGACTAGTCGTCGGCTGGGTTTGGACAATGCTAGTAGTGGTTCAAACACTTTCAACCCGACATCACAACCATTTCAGTTCAACCCTGGATCACAGTCCTGGATGACTGAATCTTCCAGCTCTCGATATGACAGTAGTATGGATACGGACACCATGGCGGCACAGTACATTAAGAGGGGGTCTATTGACAGGATCTCTGGCTCCCCGGCTTTCCGCTTGGAGAGCGGTAACAGCCCTCGCAACTATGCTGTAAACCCCGACACTTTCCCAGCCAGGCCATCATCCCGGGACCACCGATCCAACGAAACAGAAAGACGAAGTGTTCCCGCGCAACATTTCACCGGCGGATTCGCACCTTCGTTTTATCCTGGCCAATACACATTTGCCAACTTGCCTCCCCAATACGCTCCCAGCTATATTGATCCATATACGCAAAACTTTCGCAACGCCATGATGTCAGGCTACGGCATTCCTCCTGTCCCTTCAGCATATTCGCTCGCCGCCAATCTGCCCCCCGTTCGACCCTCGAGGGATCAGGATCCTGGCAAAGGCGTTCGCAGTGTGCTCTTGGATGAATTCCGTCTTAGCAATAAATCGAACAAGCGATACGAACTCAAAGACATATATAACCACCTTGTCGAGTTCAGTGGCGATCAGCATGGTTCGAGATTTATCCAGCAGAAGTTAGAGTCAGCCAACAGCGATGAAAAAGATCAAGTATTCCGAGAGATTGAACCAAATGCTATTCAGTTGATGAAAGATGTCTTTGGTAACTATGTTGTTCAAAAGTTTTTCGAACACGGCAACCAAGTGCAGAAGAAAGTATTGGCTGAGAAAATGAAGGGCAAGGTGGTAGACCTTTCAGTACAGGTCTATGCTTGCCGTGTCGTTCAAAAGGTACGGCCATCTGATTGCTGCAGATATAATTCTTGCTGACAAGTTTAACCAGGCTCTCGAACATGTGTTAGTTGAACAACAAGCCGAATTGACAAAGGAGCTTGAGCCAGAAATTTTGCGTGTCATTCGCGACCAAAATGGCAATCATGTGGTCCAGAAGATTATTGAACTGGTTCCAAGACAGTGCATTGATTTCATCATGAACGCAGTTAGGGGCCAAGTCACTGCCCTTGCATCTCATACGTACGGCTGCCGCGTCATTCAGCGCATGCTAGAGCATGGGACAGAGAGCGACAAGATGGAGATTATGATGGAGTTGCATGCGTCTGCCCAGATACTCATCACGGATCAATATGGCAACTATGTGGCACAGCATGTCATTCAAAACGGCAAGCCTGAAGATCGAGCCCAGATGATTGACCTTGTTATGTCCCAGCTGCTCACTCTTTCCAAACACAAGTTTGCGTCCAATGTCGTGGAGAAGTGCATCGAACATGGTACAGCTGAGCAGCGAACCAGTATTCGAGAACAGCTTACCACCGTGGGTAGCGATGGGACCAGCCCACTTCAGCAGATGATGCGAGACCAATATGGCAATTATGTTATTCGTAAGTCACACCAACTTGTTAAAAGTCGCGTTTTGCCTAAAGTTAACTTATGTGCCAGAAAAACTCCTTGGCCAACTTGAGGGCAGGGAGAGGGAGATGTTGGTGGAAGAGATCAAGCCTCAGTTTTACGCCTTGAAGAAGAATGGAACATCCCGGCAGCTTCAGGCTCTGGAGAAACTTCTTGGCCTAGGATCCGGCGGCTCTCCTTCGAGGAATGACGCTGCATCTGCTCAGACAGACCTCAACTCCGCTGCGGACACCCCGGCTCTCACCAACGAAACCAGCAGCCCGCAGAGCAGCAGCCCACGCAGTGCTCATGCAAGCGCTGTTAGCATTCTTGCTGAAGAGAGTGGAAACAAGACATCTGATGAGCTGTCTAACATGATCGATCCTCAGGTGCGAGAGGAAGAAGCCTAGCTGACACGCTGCGGATCAATCTGTGTACGGGGATGACGAAGTGGCAATATGACTGTCGCGGTTCCCGACCGCGTCTTCGTTCCTTTCCACTATTTTGTATTAACGACAATAAAACAAAGTCCTATGGCATCAAACTCGCAGACACACGGCGGCGCAGAAGCACATCCACCTCACGCCGTCTCGCATAGATAATGTCCATCCTTACAGCAGCAACGTTTGCAAATGCATATACGCATACTCGATACAACTTACTAATATTTGGCATTGGCAAGAGAACTGCATCTCCTTGACGGAGTTGATCGTTCTCGGGGGGGGGAGGGGGATTTTCTTTGAAAAAAAATATTCACGTTTGCACCACTTCACGTCGCTGGAACTTTCTTCAAACACCAAGAAGGCCGTACCATGGTGGCCTAAACTGGTGTACTAAATGCCTATTTCTTTCTCGGAACATTATTGGCGACAAAGCACAAAATATTCAAGGAAACTATTGGTTGTTTTAGTTTTTCCTTCTGTTTAGTATTGAAATGGTGACGCTTTTTGCTCTTATTTATTGGTTCTTCTGGGGACTCGGGCTGTGGGGTTCTGCAATGCTGGATTTGCAGCTTTCGCAAGCTGTCATTTTCTCCCATTTGGAGGGTTTTTGCATCCCGATGAAACGAATGAAACCGCTTGGATGAAACGGTTACAGGGGTTATGGTTGGAACATCTCGGCGAGATTTGGATGGGTTGAACTGGACTCTGGTTCGGGACTGTATTCTAGCGAGAACTGTATTGAGGGTTCTTCTTCCCTCTGATCTTGGAATTGTCCATTGTCCATAAGCGTTGTACAGAAATGACGAGATTCAAAAGCGACGTGGTGTCTGAGAATCTATTATGACTTGAGTGCCAATATGTAATACGACTGCGTGTCAAAAACCCATTTTTTGCGCTTAAATCTTGTTATATGTGGCTTGGTAGGGAGCCAACTATTGGGAAGTTCAAATGAAGGGTTGAGGCAGCGTGAGACGGATAGAAATGCGGCACGCAGGAATTCAGATAGTCTTTTGGGGGGGGAGCTCTTGAGCCCCTCGGCCGAACTAAGGAGGCGGGAACATTGAAGGGTTGTTGTGGCTTGCTCGACATTCCCCGCCAACAGTACGGAGTACATTCGAGGGAGTGAGTAGTGCATGCTACTTAAGTACCAGTGGACGCCGACAGCGACATCGCTGTGTTTCTAGACGCTACCCTGGAATTAGTACGTAATTTGAAGTTCCCGAGTTCCACAACCATGCCTGCCATAGTTGAGGCTGCTTCGCGCCTGCCAGTTTGACTCTTTCAATTCCCCCATTTCATTAAATTATCACCTCGTCCACCCCGATGAAGCTACCTTTTCTATAGCGCCGTCACACAAATCACTCCCCGGGGTCCACCCTCCCCCTTCTTTGCAACTACTTGGTACTGGGACACCACGCCCGAGCTTGCGTTCCGTCGACCTCGATAACGAACGATGGCTACTGGTAGACTGAGCTTCTTATATCCGCATTTGCTGCGGGCGGCGCGAACATCCGTCACGCCCAGCACGGTGGCAACAAGATGGGTGGCTACGACGAGATCCAAGAGTTCGTTTGCCGCTAGGCATGGAAAGGCTGTTGAGCCGACTTGGAACAAAACCCAGGAAGCAGAGGCGCAATCTTCGCGGTCAACCGAATCAAAAAATGATGGAGATCAAGCCCCGGCACAGGAGGAGACGAAAGCCACCGAGGCAACAAAAACAACAGATACCAAGCAACCACGCGCACAACCACGCGCCGCTGCGGACAAGAGAGCAAGCCCGGAGCTTGAGCAGTCTTCTTCAGTGCAAGCTGCGACGGCGTCAATGAGCTCGGCAGACTCCCCTACCAGTAAAACAGGGGACTCAGCCGCTACTACCAAAGTAGCTGACTCCAGCAACGCCGCAGAGGAACCGAGTCAATCAACCTCCGACGTCGATTCTCCTGCTGCTCCTTCGCTCGAGGCTGTTCTACACATGCCATCCCCCGACAAGGTTGAACACCCGCATATGGCGCCACCACCTTATGTACATCACTTTGATAGCTACTCTCTGGTGAAGCAGCTGGAGGAGGGCGGTTACTCACGCGAGCAAGCTGTCACTTCGATGAAGGCGATCCGGAAAATTCTTGGTCAGAACTTGGATGTAGCGCAGAAGAGTCTAGTCAGCAAGAGCGATGTTGAAAATGTACGTGTCCAAAGCAAAACGCATGCAGCGTGATGTGACTGACAAGGCTGACAGGAGACTTATCTCTTCCAAGCAGCCTGCTCAGAGCTGAGCACGGAAATCAAGAACAATCGCCGATTGCAAGAAGAAGAAATGAGACAACAACGGACGCATTTGCAGCACGAAGTCGATATTCTCACACAATCGCTTAACCAGGAGCTGCTGACTCTTAATGACGCCGTCCGTGGGCTATTCAATGACAGAAACATGGCTGTTCGAGAGGAACAGAAATCCGTCGAGAGTGCTGTGAGTCTGTCGGTGGGAGCCATACTTGATCATGTTAATAACCTCCAATCAGATCCAAAAAATCAATTACAAGATGAGTATTCTGCTCAGCAGCGATAGCAAGTCGGAAATTGAAGGCGTAAGATGGGTATTGATTCGACGTTCTGTTGTTGGCCTTGTCTTCTTGGCCATCCTCACCCTGGGAATGATTCGATATACGACATACCTGGCACAGCAGAAAAAGAAGGAATCAGAGAAGCGGAAGAGGGAACGTGAGAGGTTGAAGAGAGACGGGGGAAGAAATGACAACACTTCGGCGGCAGATGCAGCCATGATATTGTCTGCAAGCTAGAGAGACAGTTACACACACTTTCCTCTTGCCCTACGGGGGCAATGACCTTGGCGTTGGAGTCTTGATTTGGCGCACCGAGTGTTAAGATGCAATGGGAATATTTGGAAATACCCCAATAGACCGGGTGGATAAACCAGGGACGAAGAAACGTCCTTTCGACGCGACGTCGTGTATATATATTTACTTTGTCCGTTTCAAGTATAAATGAGGATTGGCTATGGACGTAAATGCAGCCCATCCGCTACTATCAATAAGTCGCACCGGCTGAACCACACACGCAATCTTTGGTAATATGGTCTAAAATACCACGTACGTAGTACACCTTCTAGATTTAAAAGAGCTGCGTCACCAACTTGACGCTTCATGATGTGGTTCACCAAGGCCCCGGGTGAACATGTACATACATCCAATCACCCCTAGGCATAAGGAATTACGTCACAACAAAATTTTTTTGCGAGTCTACACAACAAAGATTTAAAAAAAAGCTGCAAAAGCACAATACGCCTACCCTTCCCCGGTGCCGTATGCAAGCCACCCCAGCCCATCATGTATATCGACACAAGTAGTATGCGAGTCCGACATGAGCTTCTATTCTCGTACCGCGCACCTTCTTAAAACGGCCAAAACAACCTACTACCCCTTGCCCCGCTAGCATCCTGCGGCAAGATCCTCCCCGCCGCCGCCCGTCACGTGGTGGTGGTGGTGGTGGGGGGGGAATTCAACTCGTCCTCTGCAAGCCGCGTTTCGCGTCCCAACCTCGGCCGTTCAAACCGGCCCTCGACCACCAACCTCAAAAAGCACGTCGTCTGACCCATTGCGAAAATTCCAGTTTTTCCCACAAAAGACATGGCCACCGAGCCGGAGCCAGAGAAAACCGCGCAGCCGCAGAAAGAAGAAGGAGAAGAAGAACAAGAACAAGAAGAAGGAGCGGCCAAGCCGGGCCCCCGCGCCCTCCGCCTGCAAGAGATATACGCCGCCTCGCTGGCCCGCACGCTCGACAAGCTCTCGTACGACAACGTGGCACCCTGCTACCCGACGATTGCGCGGCGCGCGTCCCCCGTGCTGCGCCAGGTGCAGGCCCAGATGGTCGAGCGGCTGCGCGACAAGTGCGAGAGGGAGTTTGACGCCATCCTCGGCGCGAGACGCGTGGTGCGCAAGATGAACGAGCTCGAGGGGCTGGTTGCCGACGCGGAGGCGCGGAGAAAGCTGCACGGCGAGGAGGACCTCCCCACGCCGTAAGTTTGGATCTTCCCTTCTTCTTTTGTTTCTTCTTCTTTACTTTTGTTAACGAGGGGAAACTGGATAACAGGGCGCATTTGCTATCGCCCGAAGAGGTGCTGCGGGCGCATTTAGGTCCCCGGCTCGCGGAGCAGAGGGGCTTGCTCAATGCCAGGCTGCAGACGACACAGGCGCAGAATGGGCTGCTGGCGGACCATGTCAAGGCGCAGAGGGAGGAGATCGACGCCTTGCTGGGAAAGCTGGATGCCGCGGTGGAGGATGTGCGGTCTGCGAATGGCGTACTGGGCGGTGTTGTGGGCGAGCTGGCCGGGGAGGCGAGGGGAATCGATGCCGACATGGGCGACGCGTCTGTTTCATGAACTGGTGCATGCATCCATCGTGACAGGACTGCACTGGGCACAGGACGCTTTGGGACACGGAGGAGGGTTTTATTGGGCGCTTGGAGTTCACTGACTTTATAGATACCCAGGAATACAATACACGCGACGACTCTTGCGGAAATGGACAAGAGACATTTCAAGAACCAACATTTTGATCCTATCAAATGATTGCTATGTACAATAAAACATCGCCAACGCCAAGTCCCGATACCCAGATAGTGGCTGTACATTCATTTGGAATATACCCAGAATCAACAAGATGAACACGTACTGAAAAAACTCCGCCCAATGAAGTAGTACCAAACCTTCTTTGTATAATGCTCTTTCAATTGCTCCGTAAATGCATCAGATATATCGCCTGTCTTTGTAGTGATGAATCATCCTTCCAATGGGACCTGTTATGGCTTAATAATGAATTTCCTCCCATCTCTTTCGGAAGGGGGTTTTAACCGTGATCATGATGGCGTAAAAAAGAGAACTGCCCATATAGGTGGGACAAATCATGGCCAGGCTAAAGGGTCCAGATGGCAGTGCTTGGCATGCATTCGCCAAGAACGCCAGAATTCTCCGACCCGAGTCCATCGACGAACCTCATCTCATCCCATTGCTTCAAAAACCCAACGTCGAATTTTCAAAAGCATGAATCACGCCGTTCGAAATGGATATTCATGTAGAGTCCTCTCTTTCCAAGTGGCAAAAATCACAACCCGGCATACTGACAAACCCTTGACCTTTAAATCCTGGGGTTTTCGGTATGAATGACCTGCCAGGGTCCGAAAAAATCGATCTCGCCATATGTCGGAGGTAATACACGGACCATTTTACCGGTTCCCCAATCCACAAACCACTGTTTACCCTTGCTGATAATGTAGTTGGATTTTCGAGGACTCCTGAATAACAAGTTGCTATAGCATAGCTTAGCGTACAACAGATCGTGGGCGCTCGACCACTGATGTTCAGGGAACCACTTTCCCGTGTGCGGATCGATTGATGGGTTGGGATAAGAAGAGGTACTGATGCGACGGCTGAGAGGTTCGATTCTCGGGGGTGGGTTGGCAGATGCTTCCTGCAGCGGTTGCAGGGTTGGTGGTGGTCGGGTTGAAGACGGTGAGCCAACATTGGAATCCGTTTGTGTCGTCGTGTTGGACAATTCCGGGCCTTCCACAGATGTCTCATTGTTTCTGGATTGCTCGGTAGAAACCGCATAACCGGGGAGCGCCGGTGATTGGCCCTGATACCATCGAATCCGTTGAATGCGAGGAATCGACATGTCACGGGGAAAATCCCGGTCATCAATAGGGGCGGCAACGTCGATGGCCGCAAATAGGGCTTCAAGCCATTTTACAAACGTGGCTAACTCGATACATGACAGAAGAAACTGGTCAGTCTCTGCCCTGATACGGATAACATATCGACGTCTTTTGTCAAATGTTAGTGCTCAAACGTCTCGACGATAGGGGGCCAGAGGACGAACTCACTTTGTATAGTCGGCTGCGATGCCAGCATCGGCGTGTATGAGGCTATAGCTCTTCTCAAGCTTTGACTTTCTCACCCACGGAGGGTTGTCGGGGCATATAGTAGGACCATCTCGGCTCCGACCCCATCCCCAGTCCTTCTTAACGGTATACACATTTAGGGCAGTTCCGTTTAGGGTGACAAAGTTGGTGTGCCAGTGACGATCCTCAGCTCGTTTTGTGGTGTTTTCAATCTCATGCTTTTTGGAGAAGACTCCTTCGATATACAGTGAACTTTGGTAATTAGGAAGTGACTCGCTTCCTTCTTCGGCCTCGTTTGACTGGTCGAACACCGCTTGGCTCCCTTTCCTCCGGCCTGGCCCTGGATCCTCGCCCTCGTCTGAGTCATTGGGATTGGGCTCGTAGGCCGGCGGTTGGGAAAGTCGTCGTGGTGGAGCGACCATTACGCGGTTGTAATACAGATCCTCCTCCATGGAATAACGCCGCCGTAGAGGCGGCGTAGACGGCGCAGTCGGTTGTCCATCGTCACGGACCGAGACCTCGGAGGGGTCCATGGGAAAGGACCGGCTTATATGTACCGGGCTCGGTCAAGACCGAACGGTAACGTCTAGTACCAGGTGGTCCAAGATGACGCTGCTAGTGTCAGGGCGTGTGCGACACTGCGTCACCCTTCTGCTAACAGGAGTCTCCGTAGATGGAGCGAGGATGAAGTTTGATCATAGCGACCCGCTCCAAAACATGATGGGTCAAGTGAGAAAGTGGCGAGGACGGGAGACACTCGAGAGAAAACCACGTCTCGAGGGCACAAGCGTGGGGGGGGTTTGACGAGTGTCCAGGATGTGGTTGCAATGCGGCGGCTCTTTTGTTAGTGTCGATGTGGACGGAGCAGGTAGAGTTTTGGGTTTTCGGGTGGGAACCGCGATGGAGCAAGGACCCAAAAATACCAATGTATCAATAAGAGGAATGCCGGCGGTGGATAGCTTGCAGAGTTGTATTGAAGTTGTACTGACGAGAGGTGGGGATGGAGAAAAGGGCATGTAGGACCTCCAACGTCTTAGTGGCGAGAGGTTCTACGGACTTCCTGGCTGGGCTATGTACCTAGCCTATGTATCGGCGTGATGGTAGATGGATAATAAAGTACTCCGTAGCTCGAGTGTGAGTTACCGGGGGGGAGGGGTGTGAGAGAGAGCTCTGCGACCTACCCAGGTATGCAGGAAAGTTTTAGCCGTTGTAGGTGGCAGAGACGTGCGTAGTACTCCGTACAATGCTTGGGGATGCCCGGGTGGTAAAACCACATAACGCGACAGGACACGGCCGGGAATGTCTGAGAAGTACTCGAGGATAGCTGTTTCGAATGATGATGGACCGCGAAGATTACTGTAACAGGCGGCGACGACGACGCGCCGATTTCGGGTGGAGCACAAAGCCGGGGAAATGAGCGGCTTTGAGCCTCAAGGGCGCCAGAGAAGACAACGGGCGTGGCGTACGTCAGCAAGTCAGGTCTGGGCACAAGCAGGATACTGCGGATGTCCCGGGCTGCCAGCTTCACGACTGAGACCCGTCGACGTGAGACGACCCTCGGTAGGGAGTATTGGGGTGTGAAGGGCGGGTACAGTATCCCAGTAGTTGCGATGGTGACTGCCACGTTGTGAATCGAACGAGATATATTGTGGAAAGTTGAAGATGCAGATTGTACGGAGCTGAGAGTTGTCTGGGGCCAGCAAAAAGGTCAGGACAAAATAACTAGGCTAATATTAGATCTTGCTCCTGCAGATGCCCACGCCCTATGTACATACCTATGAAGCTAGGAAAGCTGCAGGACTATAATAAGGCCGCGGTCCCAGAATTGGACCGGCTCAACCGGTTGGCGTCTCCAGGCAGAAGGCGAAATGTTTGGTGGAAGGGAAATACTAGCTGGTGGCCAAGGCCAGATGCAGCGACGTAGCATAAGCCGGCTCGACCAGAAGGGAAGTGCAACTCAACCCTCAAACAAATGGTCGCGATGCGCAGTACTTTTGGAAGGCGCGGCTTTGTTCCAGAAAGAGCGACTGGCGGAAAACCAGCCAGTCGAAGCCTCGCTACAGTCGGACATGCACGACCCAACGACTTTGCTGGGTGCCCGCCAGCCAACGGCCCACCAACGGCCAACCAACATCACCCACACAACCTTGAAACCTCAGCACCAGGACGCGCCACAGATCTGCGACTGCCCGCAGGGAATCGCTTCCGGCCGGTGCGTGAGACCGGCTGGGAATGTGCTACCACAGGATGTGACCAGCGCACGGCCAGGGCACGACTCAGCCCGGGCCGCTCTGCACAACATGGCAACGGGTTCATTTCTCGCATCGCCCACTCTATCAAATCCATTGCAACCGCTTGACTCAGGACAACAGACGGCCAAATTTACATGACAGCGCCTGCTCGCCGTCGACTGAGGCTTGACTGAGACTCCAAAACAACTGGACCGGGGCGTCGCAATACAAGGCTAGGTCCACCCCCAACCCCGAGCATTCCCTGTCCTTCACCAGGCTGGGCTTCAGTATGTACGCAGTCAGAAAAAAGTTCCATGGACCAGCCAGGCTCCAGAGCCAAAACCTTGTCCCATTGTGCGATGCCCCGGCCGCCGGCGCTGGCGACTACTGCTGCTGCAAATCAGAGCAAGCCCAATGTCGAGGGCTAGCAGGCTTCGCCGAAAGGCCTCCCGATCCCGGGGGCAACTCAGGCTGGCGATACGCTAAACCGGGGCTGGTAGGTGCCACGCAAGGGCCATGGAGCGACAAACAGAGCAACATAGAGAGAGAGAGAGAGAGGGTGGGTGGGGGGAGAATGTTGGCCAGAAGGCGTCTCCGACGCAGGCAGATCGAGGCTTTGCTCAGTCGCTGCGATGGAGGTTCCCACCCCAGTGCGTTATGGTGTACAAATGCTCCGTACTGGGAGAGCTTTGAATCCAGGGTTGCGTCTAGACGTCACATCGGTGGAGATTTTTAATGCCTACCTAGGTATGCTTTGCCGGACACCCGTTGGGAGCGAGAAACCGAGAAAATAAGAGTTCAGGGCAGAAGCACTATTCCACCCAAGATCCAACTCGCAGCTATTGCTGCTATTGGCGACGGTGGGAAGCATAGTCGAAATATAACACGATTTCGCCGCCATGCGCCGACAACGGAATCAGCCAGACAGAAAATGAGTGCAGGATTTGCCAACGATCGATTGAGATAATCGCTTCCCTGGCTGAAGTTTCATTCATGACCGGTTGTCTTCTTTGCTCCGAATCGCATTGGCCGAGATACTGAAGGGCGATACCCATATCAGGATCGGCGTCATCAAACACAGACTTGGTCGTTCCAATGCTCGATATTGTGGAATATGCCTGGACCTGAGAATCAGAAGCAGTGACGCAGTCGTACTTCGTTTCGACAATGGCTGTTGAACCGTGGCACACCTGCACTGGTAAAGGACGAAAATCCTTCTCTCAGAAGATAGGTCACGCTGGCCAAGCAAACACAAAGGTCCTCGACGCTACCTTGCCCAACTTTGACCTGTCCAGAAACCCAGCAGGTTGTCGAAAAGAGATCAGATTGGACGGAAGGAGGAAATTCTGAGCAAATCTGGCCCTCCAATAAGATACGTGTGGAGTGATGCGCGCACCCCTCGGCCCAAAACACCGGAACTTTTGATCATGCCCTTGGCACCTTTGAGGTGCCATTGCGTTAATGCTCTCAAGTCGATTACGGCGTTCCAGCAAATGACCTTTTGCCTCTGCCCTCTGCAACACTAGGGTATCCATCGAGCACTGATTGTTACGGCGACTATCTCACTTCTTGCTTCTTATTTCTCAGTCAGTCCTCGAGTCGTTACTCCATCCGTGTTTGCGTAGCCCCAGGCTATGTCTAGTTCTGGAAGCAGGTTCCATATTAGCCATCATGGTCGCTTCGTGCGGATTTACCGCGGTCTTGCGACGACACATTTGCAACCCTCATATCAGTCGGAGTGAGCCATTCAGAGCATCGTCATTGCGGGACAGATCTGCATTGGGGAGAGACGTCGCACTCTGCCCTACATAAGATGCACAAAACTCTCTATTGGATTTGCGCTGAACAAGTTCCGGGTCCAAGTCGTCTCCATCTTAGCCGTTATTGCTGCGTGACAACGAAGTACAACTCTTCAGCCTGGCCTGGCTGTGCTCGGCTTTGGCTTCAACGTCATGCATGTTCTTTGAAACGTTCCACCTGACTAGCTAAAGAGGAAGAATAAGGTTTTAGACATCGTTCCGGTCATTATGGCAACGGGATGGTGCACACGAATGCAATGCCATGGAGCTCAAAGATTCAATTCACTCCATTGCCCAAAGCTTCGTCAGTGTTCATCCTCGGTCGAACGCCCCATTCGCATTGTCACATGTACAATGCCTTTATATTTTGTTACGACTCGAATCTTTTCTCGGCTTGCCCATGTAGCATTCCTATCGGATCGCCGGCATTTTGTGAAACATGCCGCGGGCAGTCGTCCTCAACAGCCCGTGTCGTTCGATTGCTGGGATGACTCGCACGGTTGGCCGAAGTACATACATACGCCATGGGAAAGCTCGTCTCTTTGCGGAGTCAATTTCGGACGGTAGCTCCATAGAATCCTATTTTCAAAACTGCAACATAGTATATGCACGACTATGTACGAGTATTGTACATGCTGCATCTCTGGCCTCTTGAGCCAACCAACACCAAAATTGATGCCAAGCAGACGACAAAGCCGCCACATATCCGCGATTGATCGGCACATCCCGCCAACCCGATTGCAGCTTATATCGCGCTGATATAGGCAGGGAGCCGTTCATCCTGTCCCTGTGCCACGCACATGGCATCCTGTACGTATCTCAAGCACCTTTGCTCAGTGCCTGGTCTGGTCTCCGGTCTTGCGATTCTGTGCTTTACGTTCCGATGGCACGCACAGACAGCCACCGCTCATCAGTGTCATCACAACCACCCTCACACCCCTTTGACCCGTTCCCCTCCACCCTCCCTGGTTGCTTCATAAATGCCGATCTACTGTGTATCTGGCCTGCAATGTCTGGAGCACCGACTCGGCAAGTACAATGTTTAATTATTACAGCAGCTGGGGGCGGCGAAATACATGCGCTCGACCCATGTAATTACATGCACCAGAGCACTGGATCGCACGGCAATACTGGCTCATGTACATCAAGGGTTTACGAATTATTACGAGGCGCGAATAAGGCCGCCGCACCCTTTCCAAACGCCTCTGCCGAATTACCAAACATGCTATGCTCGTGGCCCGCTTGTCTACAACGCTCAAAAGTGGCAAACCATCGTTTCCTGACAGTACGTGGCTCAACTCTCGAGCTCCCGGTATCCTAGGTCACCGTGTTCGCATACATACATATGTATGTACGGAGTATTGTATGTGCAAAGGATCAAGCAGGGAGCACAAGACTGGGACCCTCCACTTCATGCTGGTTTCGTGGGCTCCGGCTCCCCTGCTCCTGCTCCTGCGCGCTTTTCACACATGAGCGCCAGCCAGTAGGTGCAACGAGTCGCAGTCACTCTGTTTACTGGTGAAGCAGATCCCTACCCGTGTTTGCATGGCCGGAGTACGAAACCCACTTGGCTGATGAGGCACAAGACAGACGCAGCCTGCGAGACATGTATGTGATCAGCATCCATGTTGTGACATGAATTACAGCGGCCGCCTACCCATAACATCAAAGACGTCGTCATCGATTTACCTTTTTTGCAACCCGACGAGAAGGATCGGGTGTTTTTCCATTGCCCGGCAAAATTATGGCCTTTTCCGGACCATCGGCATTACAAGTGGTGTGTTGCTTGGTTACATGCACTTGGAGATGGCTCAACGGATATCATGGGCATTGGGTCTTGTGCAAAGTTCCTACTAAACGAAGGGACGCAGGCAGCCGTGCAGGGAATGACGGCCCTTGCTGCCCTGTATTGCAATTGCAATGAATGTGATCCAACCCATCTCACCCATCGCTGGAGAAGGAATACGATTCTGCATGACCTTTGGTCTTTCCAGCAACTGTTCCACAGGGCCGCTCCGAGGGATACGGAGTACGGAGTACTTCAAGGCCCTCACCCTCTGAGTTTAGCCGCGATGTGGGGAGAGACGGCAAGGCAGCACCAGCCAGGGCTGAAGCTGAAAAGCTGAAGATTTAGACACGTTATGCTTCAAGTTCTGTCGTGGAAGGGCCTACAGACAAACGCGGCGGACTGCCCGGCTTCCACCGAGTTCCGAGGAGGGAGCAAAATGGCCAATGACCACAGAACCAATGTTCAAATGTGCTCTGCTCCACTCCTTCCAGAACTCGTGCAGAAGCGGTCAATATTTTATTGAAATCCGAAGAGAGAGTCTGATAAACATATGTTACACTCGGAGCGCGCGTTTGCCTGGGAATAACATACATACATACAACATACAATGCCGACGCCACCCGCTCATGAGACTGTACCCGCTCGCCCTGCTGCAGCTCAAAGGGGCAAGTAAGCCTTTGGTCACGGAAAACAGTGCCTGTTTCTTAACCCCATCGTCAAGGGGTTGCTGCTGCAGGACCCCCTCGGGTTTGGTGTTGTGCAGCCAGCGAGGAACCATTGCGCAAGCAAAACGCACGGCTCTTCTTTGCCTGTCGATTAATAATAAGACGGCATGCCGGGTCGTATTATTCCAAGAGGAGCTGTCAGCTTTCCATTCTTGCATAGCCCCGTGGTCAGGTTGAGAATCCTAGCTTTCATGTAATGCATACATACATTCATTAACTACTCCCTGTGTTGCAGCCTCTTAAAGCCTTCCTGGGCATATAGTTGGTCCTGATTCATGCCATGTTCATGCCATGCCACATCCCGTCGTTTAACGTACAACGGACATCTCTCCGTTTCTCTAATAAGACGTCACACACACCCAGCACCGGGATATGTATGTTTGTATATGCACACCACGGCATGTAGCCAAAAAAAAGAAGCTAATTGCCAGACGACCATGTAGGTGTATGTAAATTCGTAGACCCGTCACGGCAGCCAAGTCTGCCGAGTAACCAGCTGAATTCGCCCTTTGTGGCAGACACACAAAGCACAGCGTATAAAGAAAAATTATTAAAAAAAAAAAAAAACAAGGGCCCGCGGACGCGACAAAAAACGTCCACCCAGCTCCGCACGAGACAAAAGATCCCATCCCTTCTCGGAACGTTCCTTCTTGGCACAGGCCCAGAACACGCACAGCACCGTCTTGAACGTTGCGGCGCCTTCAAAAGATCCTGCTGGAGCTCCGCGTGGTCGTGTCCGGTTTGTTTGGGCTTATGTATTCCCCCCTCTTGGCTGTGACTGTGACTGTGATGTCTCCGTCTGCCTCGCATCGCCG